TTTTTAGTAAAAAAAATTGAAAAAATTTCGAAAATTAGCGATTTTTAAATTTGTAATTTTTTTGGAGGTTTCCCCCATTTACGGGGAACGAGGGAAATTTTTTCAATTTTGAAGGGTAATGTCTTCGACTAGATACAATTTGTGATCTTTTGACGTATCGTTGAATAAAATCCGTTCGGTGAGAGCTGAGAAAAAGTGGTAACAGACACAAAAAAAAAAAAAAAAAAAAAAAAACACATCATAGTAAAACCAATACCTTCTCAGCTTCGCATCGAAGCTAATAATTTGTTATTATATTTAGTTATGTACTTAAAATATTATGAGCTAAGTTAAATTCTGATAAATTGAAAAGTAATATTATTTGCTAATGTTCAATGACTGGTATTATTTTATTTTAGTGTGCAGATTTTGCATGGTTACTACTTTTTCCAAACACATTACCCCTATTAGATATTATATTTAGTGATTTTAAATAACATGGTTAAAATAATATTTTTTTTTGTTTTATCAATTTATAAAATCATGAAAAACAGCTATGAAATGGTGATGTGTAAAGTTTCCCCCTTTTAGATTACATAAGCTCCTTGAGTACTCAATTATCCTTTTCACTTAACTATGCCTAAATTTAGATTAAATTTTTTTTTATAATAATAGAATTAATTACAAATGATACTAAAATTTAGTTATTGTGATTTAGTATCTTTCTCATGTCAGTTCTTTATTTAATAATTTAAAAGATTATTATTTAAAAAAATTACCATCATGATTGGAGTTTACTCTTATGATTTTTGTTCTACAAAATTTATCATGGCTACATGATACTGCAATAACAAACAAATCAACATTAAGTTCATTAAAATTCAAAGCTGCCCTATCATTTAATGATTGTATTATATCATTCATAAAACCATTAAAATTCGTAGAATCCCGTTTTACAGTAAAATCATATGGTGATTTGTATGATTCTAATGTAACTAATTCTTTTGTTTCTAATTTATCCATTTTCAGCTGAAAAAAGTAAATACATATTAATAAATTAAAAACTGTACGAAATAATGATATTTAATATGGTTCCTTGGAAACAATTTTAAAACAAAAATATAAACGAAAAATATTTATTAATCATTGTATAATCTATCGTTTCTAAAAATTATAATCAAAAAGATGAAAATAACTTCCCTCTTATTCCATGGCTAATAAAATAAGATAAAATTATTTATTTAATTATTTTTCCAATTAAAATAATGAGAAAGACTATTTAAATTAGCTTTAACTATATTGAAGTAAAATTCATATCTCAAATTAAAAGACTCAGTCTTTATTTGATGATGGTCTATGATGTTTAGACAAATCTAATAACTTTGAATCCAATAAATATTTTACATTACTTTTTTTAAATAAATTTTACAATTTTGAACTATGTTAAAAGTGTATTTATTATTATAGTGCAGGTGGAATGCACAGAGGTAGTTCTACGGTGAGTATGGGGGATGAGTCACCTCCCAATGAAAAATTGTCAGCTCAACAAAAATCAATTGCAATTTAATGTGACCTTTTATATTTATATAAATAAAAGTTAAAACCCAATAAAAAATTTGTTGCTACCTTAGCTAAAACTTAAAAAAAATATGGCAACCAAAAAAAAAAAGATACTCAATAAAAAAAAAGTGCCAATTCAGAAATTAAAATGCCCACTTAACATAATTAAAAGAATTACAAAAATTTGTAGGAATACCCTGAGTGCACATACATCAGTACGAGCTATACCCACCCTCACAATATATTCATGACTTATCCTTAAGTTATTATCATCCTATCAAAATTTTAAATAAGAAAATGCTAAAAAAAGGCTATTTAAAAATGTTAAACATTTTTTTATATAATACATAATTTTTTTTTTTTGGTTCTTTTAATTTTTCATATTAGATAAAAATGAAAAATATGTTTATAACATAATACATAATTATAAAAATTATTAAAAAAAAGAAATGCAACTAAAAATATTTATTAAAAGTTATTAGATTTGTCAAAACATTGTGAACCACACTTTATACAAATTATAATAGGTATGCAAAATAATAGTCACATTCCTTTTACAAAAATTCTTATGAATATAAAAATTTATAAAGTTAACAAAGTGTGAAACTAAATCTTAACAATATTATGTATTAAAATTGTTTTTTAAGTTATTTTACTACAAAAAAAATTAGTTTTAAGTAAAAATTCAAGTATAATAAAAAATAAAATGTATATCCCACAAAAAAAATAATACATTTCATTAAATTCTTACCTGATCTGCTAATTGTTTTAGAGATTTAATGTCTAACATTTTAGTTATTAGAGTTATGTATTTGAAAAGGTAAGTATATTTTTTTCATCGGTGACTAAAACATTTTATTATTTGGTTTAGATGATGGCTACATTATATTAAAATGCATAAAATATATAAATTGTACATTGAACAGAAAATACAAAATTTTAACGACAATTCTTATCAAAAATAAAACTATCGGAGGTTACACTAGTCGAATTCGTGATAAAGAGTTATTGTATTATGGGAATTAGTATGTACGACAACAGAGCTTTTCTACAAATTTTCATTTTTTTTTTTGCATTAGTCTACGCACCCCCTGTTCTTTATTTACGATTCTGTAGAGCATATATTCTTCAATTTTTTCTAATGCGAGAACAATGATGTATCACACATTATACAGCGTTGAATAAACGTCATCGCAATTTAATAGGTGACTTATTTATTTTATGAGACCATTGTTAATGTGATTTTTGTTGGCCTGCAACACAACGTGGTTTTCTACTTGCATAACGACTATCATATCTGTTAGGTATCACACTGTGACACCTATCAGATATGATTACCGAACCATAAGTTAAATTTAATTTGGGTTAATATTTCGTTTAATATAAACACCTCATGGTTTATTAACCACAACCATGATAATCGAAGATGTATATAGTTGATGTGTTACACATACTGTAGCCCGTGTCTAGTTTAAGAATAAAAATACACGCGATACATAAGTACTTGCGTCTACCTAGCCGTTTGTCGTTGGCTATAGTGATGGGCATAATCGAGATATTTCGATTATTGAAATCATATCTATTATATAATCGAGATATTCTGATTTTTTAAATAATATTGATTATTCTATAATCGAGTGATTATTTCTAATGATTTCTCGTTTATTATAAAAACAATGATTTCTCGATCTTGAAATGTATATAATCGAATAAAAGTTATTTCGAATGATGTCCATGAAACGAGAGAATACTATTTTTAAGTTTTTATTTAGCATAAATTATAGTCGAATTATTATTAAATTGTTGACTTCGAGTCTTATTTTCAACTCGTTCAATCGCTACTCATGGCAACACCTTATCTGTCACATTTTTGGGAAGTATGTGACGATTAGAACAAAATTTTGTCCTGAACTGGCTAAACTACTGAGTTCTGATTCTCTCACTAGTTGTAAATTTATGAAAAATCAATTAGGTGTGGAATTAGGTGTTTTAATTATGATGGTCAAGCAGGCTATTGCTACCTTATCTTATGTTTTTATTTTTAAATTTGTTATCGGTTTTTTTAAAATATAGGTAATAATTATTAAATAAAAAAAATAACAACTTGTCTTCTATTTAAAGCACTTATTAATAAGGAGAGCACCTTTGCCACGAACTGATGATGCTCCGACATTTACATACTACGACATTTGACAAAGTAGTAATTGTTACGAACATCTGGTACTCCGACCATCTGATTCATAGGTTACCAAAATTATGACGGATTTTACTCCGACATTAAATTTAAAAAATGAGATAGTAAAAACTCCGACATTATCGATAGTTTGATTATGCATCGAAAGTTATATTATATTTCGATTGCATTGTTAGTAATAGTGCGCATTGATCGTATATGTTGCAACGTCAGGGTCAAGTGGCTACAGAAACACTACATTATTAAATTAATTATATTATTATTAATAATATTGTAAAATTTAAATTTAAATGTTTATTCAATTAGCATTTATTTGCTACTATAGTTATTATACAATAATATACATTTTGCTTATTATTTTCTGGTACAATTTCTCACATTTGACATATGTTATTAATACTCGAATGATAATAGTCATTCATTAAGTAACATAAAATTAATAGTGTTTAATACAGATGTACATTTTTGAAAAAGTTTTCTCTATTGTTAGAATATATATTTGTCTTTGAGAATTTTATTTTTTAATTATCCAATAATTACAAAATATTTTCATCGAATCAAAAAACTGTTAGTTAACTGTTTTTTCAGTCGATCCATAAAATTTTATCTAACAGTAATTTATTTTTTAACATCTAAGAGATCCATTTGAAAACTAATTTTTCTATAACAAATATGTGCTGTAAAAATTGTCTTGTGCAATTTTATTAGTAATTAATTTCTAAGTGTGTAATATTAAAAAAATAATAACTAATATAACACATAAAATTGTTTGTACAATATAAAATCATTCTTGGGGATGTCTGGATTTTTTCCTGTGCTGCATTAGGATATCTAAGTATAAAATAACACAGTATATCCAACTTCAATGCAGTAATTGTTGAACACATTTTTTTTAGTCTTATTACTTTCTGGAAGTTTCTTCCAATAGGTTTTTATAGACTCAGAAGAGTATGATTAATTTTTCTTTCAGCAATTTTAATTGAAAATTAATTACTAAAATTATTTTTAACTTATATTAAAAAAAATTAAAATAGTATTAAACTGTGTAAGTTTTGCTACAAGTCTAATATGAGTTATGCTAAGAATTAGTAAGTTTTGGTTATANTTAATATAAGTTATGCTAAGAATTAGTAAGTTTTGGTTATATATAAGTAGAATTAATTTTTTCTTATTTAAAAATTCTGTGTGTCACCTAAAATTAAAAATATATAAACTCATCGTTAAAAAAATTTAATTTTGTGACATGAGTTTTATAATCATTGTTAAATTATAAGTAAAACCATTATAATCTCCAGTGGTGCTCAAAAAAAAGTTTAAAATATTAAGGAGTAAAAAATTATTTATTTAAAGTTCTTTTTGTTTAAAATCTAATATACATTTATTGAAATCAGTTTAATATTTCCTTGAAANCATATATTGAAATCAGTTTGAAAAAAAATATCTGAATAGTTTTTCCTTTTTTTAATAATAATTAAATTTGTTGGACAATTTTCTCAGTGGTCCAGCGAAAAAAAAATCTTAAATTTAACGAGGGCCTTCTGAGCCAGGGCGACACTACAAAAAGATGATTATTTTACCAATGTTTTCATCTTGTTAGCTTAACGTGTATCCTGTAAATACAAATGTATTGTTCTATAAATACAAAATGAAGTTTTTTTAAAAATTTGAATTCATTTTATATGTACTTTTTAGAATATGAAAGCATATTCC